AAGAGCCTGAGTTAGTGCTCATACCACAGAGCCTCTTGATTAAAATATCTGATCTCTTGGTTGTGACATTTCAGTGTATGTTGAGATAAGGAAGGGTTGGGAAGCCTCTCTATGACTCTGCACAAGGAAATGCCCTCTTGTTATTTGTTTCCAAGCAGGCAGTGAATAGCATTCAGGGGCTGACAGCACTTGCTACTCACAGAATATCTTGATGAATTGTCGGGAATTGTCTAGAATTATTGGTCTAATATGTGTATTCCATGCTGGACTAGAAGTGAGTAAAGACAAAGATCATGTTCGTTTTTATTTACCTACATACACAGCAGCCCCCATCACAAAAGAGTGAGCTGAGGGCTTGCCTGATTTGATGGCAGTCTGCAACTATTGACTTGCACTTGATGTAAACCGGATCTGCAGGCAAGTCTCCCTTGTACACAAACACTAAAGTTCTCAATTTAATTATGTGAACTTGCATATTTGCATTGAACTTTCTTGGTTTGTTTATTTTTATTGTAGTTACATTGTTCTTTTTAATAATTCTCCCAATAGCTAATAACAAAGTCTATGTTTGATTTTTCACTAATTAGTATGCTTTGGGAGATTTACACTGAAGTCCTATTTCTAACATGTTCATGCTAATAAAAAAAATCTTAGAAATAAAAGAAAACAGAGCTTTTATTGGTGTTATTAATTTCTAGAGGGCAAAGTAAGATTTTTACCCTTGCTTTGTTTAAGTCAGTTTATAGCTTTTTGGTACAAAGAAATTCAAAGTTCTGTAGAAATAATAAAAACCATGATACTTGGCCTTTAGCTCCAGAAAGAAAACCAGCAGAGGGAGCATAAGAATCTAAAACTAGTTTTCTAAATCCCTATGGATGAAAAAACGTTATGTTTTGGTCTCTGGGCATGACTATTAGGCCAATTCCATCATCAATCCATGTTTCTTACGGCTGTCTATACTGTGTAAGAGATTGATGAGGCAAAAGGCCATGACTCCAAACACGTATCTACCAAAGACTTATCTGTTTCTGAGTTTGGATCTGGACTAATAAAATCTTTTATAAATTGGGGTTTATATTAAGGTCTTTGTTCCTTACAAAAACTCCTTTCTCAAAACTGTTTGGCTCATTTTGAAACCCTGAGCCTGGAATGGGCCTACCATAGAAGAGCTCAACAGTGCCTCTGAATCACCATGGACTGTCAATGTCCTCCTCACTGTACCTTTAAATGAATGAGCTGCACTGCAGCCAGATTAGTGCTGGGCAGATCCTACTCTCCACAAATGACAATCACAAGTTAAATACCTCATTGCTCCATTTGCCTTCATGTTAGTTACTGACCTTTTACGTTCTGTCTGCCTTGAAGACATTTCAAGATAAAAATGAAATGAAAATGCTTTCAACTCCTTGAGAGAGATAAGACTCGATGCCAAGGAAACATTTTATATTCAAACAGGCCTGCAAAACATGAGTCCCCTGAGCTACATCTGGCTGACAAGACAGTGGTTAGAAGCTTTACTTACCCATTTTGACCTGGAGATGATACCAAACTCAGAGGATTACTATCAGCCACCACATGGTCAATGACCGACTCCTAATGAGTCCAGATTATCTTGTCTAACTCTCCTTCTGTCTAAATCAAACCTGGGAAACCAAGCCTGCTGAACAGTTTTCTTTCTCTTTCTCCTCTTTTTTTTTTTGTGTGTGTGGTGCTGGGAATGGAACCCAGAGCCCTACTGCTAGGCAAATCCTTCACCACTGAGCTCCATTCCCCAGCTCCTGTTGGTTTGTTTGTTTGTGTGTTCCTCCGCTTTTTGCAACCTCCTATATTTACTTTGATTTCAGCCACTCCTTGCTTTCCCGGGATGGTTCTCACTGGCTTTCCGATGATACTCTGTAATGCCTGAACCAAGTTTTAAAATCTAATCAGGTTAACTTTTTTTTTTTTTTGAGTCTCAAGAATCTAAAGTGACTCTCCCTTTCTTTCTGGCTCCCCCTCCACCACCTCTTCCCCATATCCACCTTCATACCCAGTGTTCCAGCCACGAGAGGGTGACCACCAGTGCCCACGCCCTTACAAATCTCCATGTGCCTTGAATTGTGCTGGTTTTCTGTCTGGACTGCTCTTCTTACTTCTTTTCCAAAAACTCAACATTTATTCATCCCCAAGGATCTCAGGTCAGGTAACATCTCTCCTAGGGACACCTTCCCTGACTGCCTCCCCCTCCTCCTTCCAAGTAATTTTCCCATTCTGTGTTCTTGGAAGTGCTTGATGCTTGATTCCCCTGCTTTGCCACCATGCACCATAATTACAGTTAGCTTGTGTTCTCACTGAGCTGTGAGGAATCGGGGACAATGACTATGCCTTTTATTTCTGTGACTGGCAGTAGTGGCTGATATGAACAAGGGAGAGAAAGCATAGAGTATAAAGAGAAGAGGATCCATTCCCAGAATCCCCAGGGCAGACTGAGGCATAAAGCACAGAAAGGAAATTGGGAGAAGATAGTTCACAGAAGTGAAAGGATATTAGTGATGGCAAGAACAATGGCCATAACGTAAAATGCTGCTGATAGGGCAAGTATGAAAAAGTTTAAACATGTCCTAGCAGATCACAGGTCACCTCAAGAAGAACTCCTCAAGTAGAGACAAAAACCAGATTGCAGGGGCTGGAAGGAAAATGGGAGATGACGACTTTGAAGAAGTTAGGAAAATTATATTCTAAGAAACACTGTTGTTTGCTACAATCTGGATGAATCTTAATGCCATTATGCTGAGTGAAATAAGCCAGTCACAAATGGACAAGTACTGTATGATTCTACTTACACCAGAGTCCTGGAGTAATTCATAGAAGGATGGTTGCCAGGGGTTGGGGGAAGGGCTCAGTACTGCAAGGGCACAGAGCTGCACCTTCACAAGATGAAAACTACTCTGATGGATGCTGGTGGTGGTCGCACAACAATGTGAATATGCTCAATGCCACTAAATAGGAGGGCATTTAAAATGGTTAAAATGGCAAATTTTATGTTATATGTATTTAACTAGTCTTTTTTTTTTAAGTACCATTGTTGTTAAGAGAAAAAGATGGAAATTGCTACAATAGGTCATGAGACTGACAGGGTTTGGGTTTGTTTTCTTTGCAGGGAAACAAGATACTTAAGCATGTGAATACATTGAGAAGCGCAAGCTAGTCAGAAGGGAGACAAAGGGAATCCATTTTAGTGAGGAGATCCTGAAAAGAATTCGCCTGGGGCAAGAGAAAGGCAAGCTCTTGCAAGCCTCCTCATCTCAGAGGAGGGAGAGACACAGGAAAAATTTGTCACAAAGTCGGGGGTACAGATGGGCAAGAAATACATTTTTTAAAAGAGCTTCTATCTGGAGTTGGGGTGTAGCTAGGATCACCAGAACTAAAAACCAACCAACCAAACAATCTGATAGCTTTTGGGAAGATGGCTGGGGTAAAAATCTGCAGAAGGTTTTTAGGGAATTGGCAGAAGAAGTGTAAAGGAATTATTAGGCAACTTTGTGAGTCTAGTTGGGAAATCATGACCTTGCAATGCTAATGATGGTCTAAGTCTCATGGAAACATGATTTACTGCCCTAGCCGCTGACTGCACAAGAATGTGGACAGTTAGTTTATATCACAGACTCCAATTCTACGAAGAAGAACCCTCTCAATCATAGAAGGGAGAATGCTGGGAAGCACATGGCTGAAGAGATGCACCATCAGGAAGGAAGGGATACAGGGGCTGAGACACCAAGGAAGTGCAAGACTGGAATCAACAAATGCAGTGAAGTAGATAAATTAGGGATGGAAAGATGAGGAGACTGAAGTCAGCAGTGAAGCAGAAGATTTCTTAAGTGAGACAGCTCTGGGTCTCTACCAGGCCCAGGCTTGGCCAGGGTACAGGAGGCTAGAAAGAGACCTCTAAGGCTGGGGGGTATGATTCAGTGGTAAAGCACTTGCCTAGCATGCAAGGGCCCTGGGTTTGATCCCCAGTAACTACACACACACATCCAAAGAGGAAAGACTGGGGTCCTACCCACAGGGAATATTTCTATGAATTCTTCCTTGCAAAGGCACAGACAAAAGATGATTTCTTATGAATCTTTTGCCTTGGATTCAATTTTCCCTTTATTGTTGGTTTGTTTGTTTTATCCTAGCACTCTATATTTTTCCTTTTATGAAATCCTTTATGATTGCAATTAGATATCCTCCATCCCTATTTCTGTTCTTATATGACATCCACGCAGAGTATTATCCTCGTTTTACACTACAGCTTGGGTTGATAGTCTGCAAAAAAGAAAAGCCTATTAAGGACCCTGAGAATAGACAGTGGCTCATTTCTCAGGGTTGACATTTTCTCAAGCCAATGTCACATCTTAAAAACATGAGTAAAACTTTTAGTCATCATCACCATCATCATTCAAGTCTTTCAAAGGTTAAGAATGACTATTTTATGTCACCTTGCTTAAATAATCCTGGAACAAACCAGTGACACAAAGGGGACCCTTGGGTTATACACAGAAAAGAACCTGAAAAGGAAGGGAAACTTGTCACTTTTTATTAGGCCAGGTACCCACGATGGTGTATCTTTCACTCGTGTTGGATGGGGGAATCTTTCCTGCACACCACCTTCTCACTCCCAGACTGAGGCATCTGTCCTCTCAGCCTTCTGTGGTTTGAGCAGTTGCCACGCAGTCTCAAAGACTGTCCCATGAACACGTGCCAACACTGGTTTTCTTTAGTGCAATCTGACGAAAAACTAAATTACCAACATTTTCAAAAGAGACTGGTTCCTCTTTTGTTTGGATTATGGAGAAAACTTTTGACATTATCTCTTACTACACCATCCTGAAATCAGTCAAGCATATCATATGCATCTTTCACGAGCACAGGTTGTACTCTGTCATTTTCAAAACATATTTTCTTAACACTGTAGTATAGAATAGGCGATAACATAAGGCGATGCTAGCACGTGGTGATTTTGCTTTGAATCCTACCTGTGTGTCCTCTGAATGTTGTGACCAGGGTGCAGTTTTCTTGCTCCAGTTTGAGGATTGTTACTTGGCCTGAGTGGTCACCAATAAACACGTGCCGGGTTTCAACATCAAATCTATCATGTAAGCATTAAGGTTTGTTTCTCAAAATTGAAGCAGGGGTGGGGTGGGGTGGGGTGGGATTTACAGTTGGGAAAAAAAAAAAAGCATAAATTTAACAAGAGATGTACAAATCCCACACTGGAGAACTTGAAGACAGTGCTGAAAGACACAAAAGTGAACTTAACAAATGAAGGACATATTGTGTTACTGGACAGTAAGACTCAATATGACAAAGATGTCACTTCTTAGCATATTAATAAATTAACATACATTTAATATAATCTCAGTAAAAATATCAACATGTTGTTGAGCTATGTTCATTCCATGGGTCCTGTGGAAACATACATAAGCAAGAGAAGCAAGGAATACTCTTGAGATGAAAATAATATGGGTGTGATGAAGTGAAGTCACCCCTACTAGATATTAAAACATGTTATAAAGTTTCTCTCTTAAGGGTAATTAAAATATACTTTAAGGATAACACTTTCTCACCCAATTTTAAATAAAAAGGATTTGCTTTTTTTGTTACTGGGAGTTGAATCCAGGGACCCAGGGGTTCTCTGCAACTGAGCTACATCCCTTGCCCTTTTTACTTTGAGACAAGGTCTTGCTAAATTGCCTAGGCTGGCCTTAAACTTGTGACCCTCCTGCCTCGGCTCTTGGGTTGCTGAGGCATTAGGACTTAATTGCTTGCTGTTCAACAAGTTTTGATGCCACCGCACTGCTAATTCCTTAGTGCTCTTCCGGCACACACTAGACATGTCCTCCTCTACTCAAAGTCCTGGTGGCCACTTAAGAGGCTTGACTTTGATCACCTACTTAACCACTTTCAGTTTTGCATTCACTGATGTAATACTCTTATGAACGTGAGGGGTATGTGCTTTTTCTAGTCCAAACATCTTTATTATATTTTCCCTAAAGAGGACACCTTTTTGTACTTTTGATTCTGTTAACAATATGCAGTTTGTAAGGGTGCTGTGTATCCTTAATTTTTTGATCTGTAGGTGAAGGCTGAAACACTTGATCTGAAATTCTTAATTTGGTAAATCTGTCATGAATCCAATCTGTACAAATGAAATTCCCCTGCTTTTGTTGCAGTCTGTAATTTCTCTGGGACCTCTGAAATAGTGCAAAATCCCCACCACAAGTGTAGTAGTTGTTCTTTCTACAGGCACTGCTTGCTAAACTAAAGTTCCTTTAGTTAAAAAGGTGGTATTGGGACATGAAGAGACAAGAGAACAGAGAGAAAGTCCAGAAATAAACATATAGAAATCTAATACATGTCTGGTAAAGGCAGCTCTTCAAATGAGTAAGGAAAAGATGGATTGAAATAAAATGATGTTGGCACAAACTACATATGTATTTGGGGGAAAAAATGGGACTGTATTTCACATCACATACCAAGGTAAATTCCAAATCAATTAGGAACTTCCACGTAGGAAATGAAAATATTAAGTTCCAGAGAGTGGGTTTCTTTGGGGTAGGAAAAGCTATACCTTAGAAACGCAAACAAATAATATAAACAAAGACAAAAGATAGATTAGAAAAAACATTTGTAACTTCTGCCACAAAGGGCCCAAATCCCTAATATAGAAGAGCAATCAAGGAGAAAAAAAGACCAGAAATCTGACAGAAAAATAGGCAAAATCTGAATGGGACTCTGAATGGATAGTTCAAGAAGAAATAAAAATGGTGCTGCGTGAAAAGAATTAACCCAGCAGGCAGACTCTATCCTTTGCAAGCCTGCTTACAAAGCTGGCATTGTGTCTGGGAACCTGGATTTGGGGCAAGTTCCCACCATTAACTGATCAGAGTGGTTCAATGTGTCTTAACTATTCCAACTAGCTTATGCTGAATACCTGCTTTCCTTTTGTGCATCAGGAATTTTGGTATGTGCCAGGTGGGAGCTGTCTACATGACCAGCCCTCACTAAAAATTCTAGACACTGAGATTCTTACAAGCTTCTCTGGTTGACAGTGCTTAGCAATATATATGAAAAATCTCCCAATTTGAAAACAAAGCAAAATAAATGAAACTACCAAACTGGTGATATAACCACATAGTTGAGTGAAATTATTTTACGCGACTTTAAAACACAACATTTTGAATGTACATACTTAGAATATACTCTGAGGATAAAAGAACATCTAAACCTCAAAATATCATTCAGTAGTCTTATTATCATTATAATGCCATCGGATAAAGCAAATAAGGAGTTATGTTGATGTTTTAAGAATAAAGATTTTCAGCCCAAGATCAAAGAAACAAGTTCAAAAAGGAAGAAGTAAAAACCCTATCATGTGGGGCTAGGGTTGTGACTCAGTGGTAAAGTGCTCGCCTAGCATATGCAAGGCCCTGGGTTTGATCCTCAGCACCACATAAAAATTAATTAATTAATTGATTAATTAATTAATTAAAGGTATTGTGTCTATCTACAACTAAAAAATAAATATATAAAAATATATTAAAAATCCTACCATGTTAAATTTGAAATTTTGAATTAGAAATAAAAATGAGTTATTTTATTTTAAAAAGTAACACATATGTATTATTTCATAGATATCTGTGATTATTATTCCTCACTAAATAACAGATAATTACATGACTGGTACAAAAAAGGGACAAGATGATCTTAAGACATGATGAGCCAGAAAGTTATCAGACATATGTAAAATAGTTAATAAGGTTGATAAGGAAAATGACCGCTTTACATTTATTTTAATTATAAGAATGAAGATGAAAACAAACTCAATTGACACTAAACAGTCTTTACAATCACAAGTGAATAGCATTATTCTGTAAAAGTCATGAATCCAACAAAACCTATTTATAAAAGGGTTAGAATAAAATGGTAGTACAACCTCAAAGCTTAGAGTGACTGCCATCAACTATGATGTGAAGAAATTGAGATAATCTTAATAGCTTTTCAGAACTGTGTATCTGCCTATGAATAAATCTAAGAGATTATATTTGGAGGGAAGACATTTCACTTTACAGAGTAACCTTTTTTTTTTTAGTTGTTGATAGACCTTTATGTATTTACACGAGGTGCTGAGAATCGAACCCAGTGCTTCACACATGCCAGGCAAGTGTGCTACCACTGAGCCACAGCCCTAGCCCATACAGAGTGACATTTTGGAAATATCTCCAACATGAAGAAAATCCTAAAATGAAGAGTTCTTGAATTATTTTTTTGTGAAAACATTAAAAAAAATATGATCAAAACACTGTCAAAAATAAGATACCAACAGGTCTTCCTTCAGGTCTAGAATATGCTTTAAACTGTTCTAGAAAACAGAGAAATATCCCATTGTGTATATATGCCACATTTTTTTTTCTATCCACTCATCTACTGAAGGGCATCTAGGTTGGTTCCACAGTTTAGCTATTGTGCATTGTGCTGCTGTTAACATTGATGTGGCCGTGTCCCTGTAGTATGCTGTTTTTAAGTCCTTTGGGTATAAACTGAGGAGAGGCATAGCTGGGTCAAATGGTGGTTCCATTCCCAATTTTCCAAGAAATCTCCATACTGTTTTCCATATTGGCTGCACCAATTTGCAGTCCCACCAGCAGTGTATGAGTGTGCCTTTTCCCCCCACATCCTCACCAACACTTTCTGTTGTTTGTCTTCATAATAGCTGCTATTCTGACTGGGATGGTTTTGATTTGCATTTCTCTAATTGCTAGTGATAGTGAACATTTTTTCATATATTTGTTGATTAAATATCATCTTCTGAGAAGTAATGTGGCATATATACACAATGGAATATTACTCAGCAATAAAAGAGAATAAAATCATGGCATTTGTAGGTAAATGGATGGAGTTAGAGAAGATAATGCTAAGTGAAGTTAGCCAATCCCAAAAAACCAAATGCTGAATGTTTTCTTTGATATAGGGAGGCTGATTCATAGTGGGATAGGGAGAGGGAGCATGGGAGGATAGGACAGAGGGGTTGGAGAGGGAAGGGAGGGGGCAAGGGGTTATAAATGATGGTGGAATGTGATGATCATTAGTATCCAAAGTACATGTTTGAAGACACGAATTGGTGTGAATATACTTTGTATACAACCAGAGATATGAAAAATTGTGCTCCATATGTGTAATAAGAATTGTAATGCATTCCGCTGTCATATGTAAATAAAAAAGAAAACAGAGGCAGAAAGCAAAGAGGCAGAGAAGAATTAACAGTGGATGAGAGTATCCATTATAATACTTTCTGAATATTACAGAAAGTATTTACAAATTTAAAGATTAGTAAGTGAAGTAGGGAAGGAATACATTTGTTTCTATTTCCTGCCACTTCCTTGCTGTTGGATCTTTGGGAAATATCCCCATTCTGCTATATCCAGTGTGCAAAAGACTAGCCCAAATATTATAATTCCCGAGTTCTAATCTTGGTTCTGCCAGTTAACAGTCGTTGCCTTGGGCAAGCCACTTGTAACCTTCCTGAGTCTCATTCTCACCCAGCCTTAGTTGCTAACTATAAAAAGAGACGATAAGGTTATTTCATCTTTACTGCACACTATTGTTTGATAGTAAATGAAGTAATGTATGTAAAATCACCTCATATAGTCTCAGGGACTGCAATATATATATTTTCTTCCTTTTCCTCTTCTTTTCTCTTTTCTTCCTTATTATGATTGTTAATTGTGTTATTACTATTATAGATCACTTAATATTTGAAGCTTCACATATGTAGCCAAAGAACCAAAGTATTTAAGGTTATTCAGAAATTCAAAATTCAATTTGAGAAATGGTTGGTCTGTTTGTCTTCCTTTACTCTCTACTTGAACTTTGATTGTTTTTTTTTTAAATTTTTTTCAGTTGTAGATGAACACAATATCTTTATTTTGTTCATTTTTTTTCTATGTGGTGCCGTGATCAAACCCAGTGTCTCATGCATGCTTGGCAAGCGCTCTACCACTGAGCCACAACCCCGGCCTGAACTTTGACTATTTTTAAATGCATATTTGCTTCTCCAAACAAACAAAATTTTAAAAACTCTGTAAAATAGTGGGATGGCAGGAAAAGGGGAAGGAGGAGGGGTGAACCCTAGAACTACAGTAGCTTGCTCATTAACTACCCATCCACCTGCCAGCTGCAAGAAAAAAGCTCCAGCTTTAGAAAAGTCCCACAGTCCTTGGCTCAGACCTCTGGCAAAAACACAAAACTATCATGCCATCAGTGTTTAGCCTTGGAAAAATAGCCAGGAGCAAGGATTCGCAGTATGGCTCCAAAATTGGATCTGGCAAGGCAAAGCTTGCAGGGGTCAGGGAACCTTCTGTAAGAGCCTGTCTGCAGCAGTACTGCAGCGCCCCTCTGCCTTCACAGTGAGGGTAGCTAGATGGTCACAGCCCAGAAACTGAAGCCCAGAGGCTTAACCCACCACCAGTAGCACCAGCACCACTACCACCACCTGACTATAACACACACACACACACACACACACACACGTACACAAGTACACACACACAGGCACAGGCTTCTGACATCTGATAACATGATGTTCTGCATGGTAAGTCACACGTTATGGCCAAAAGAAAAAGTTACAAAATGATGACTTTTGAATCTGGTGGTGATAATCTTATACCATAGACTATCACCGTCAGGGCAAGTTTAATTCTTGCTTATTTGGTTTTTGTTTTTCATTTTCAGATGGTTTAAAAAGTCACCATCTTGAAGATAGGACCTGCAGTGTTTCCCACACTCCGTTGCTTGGGTAAGTGAAACAAAAGACATAGGGAAGAAGCATCATTAGGTCTGGCTAGTAACATAGAAGCCAGCCTAAGGTGCCAGTAGTTCTGCTCTCTTTAGGCCAGTGCAGTACAATGGGATAAAAGCAGGAGTCCAAGGCAGAAGACCTGGGATCTGGTGGTAAATCTCCAAGCTACTAGGTAGATGGTCTCAAATAAGGCAAGGGACATCTTCTGGGTGTCAACTGGCTCATCAGAAAAATGAGGGAGTTAAAGACCTGTTTTTTAAAAATATATATATTTAATTGACAAAAATTGTATACATTCAAGGCATACTGTCATGATTTGATAAATGTATATATGGTACAATGATTACCATAATCCAATTAATTAATACATGCTTCACCATCCGTAGTTTTGTGCGTGAATGTGTGTGAATGTTCACGGGTGTGCATGGATTAAGTATGCCACCCTCAAGGTCACATGTGGAAACCTAATTCCCATTATGATGGTATTAGAAGGTAGAGCTTATGTGCTGAGTCATGAGGGTGGAGCTTCATGAACAGGATTAGTGTCCTTATAAAAGAGACTCCAGATGGGGCTGGGGGTGTAGCTCAGCAGTGGAGCACTTGCCTGCATGAGGCACTGGGTTTCATCCTCAGCATCTCATATAAATAAATAAAGGAATCATGTTCATCTACAAGTAAAGAGAGAGAGAGAGAGAAAGAGAGAGAGAGAGAGAGAGAGAGAGAGAGAGAGAGAGAGAGAGAGA